CGGGGGCTGCGCGTCCGTGCGGGGGGCCGGCTCCGCCCGGGCCGGCTCGCGGTAGGGCTGCGGCTCCGGCCGGGGGCTCTCGCGCTCGGAGCCCGGGAGGTCGGCGTCGCGCCGCCTCACCGGTGACAGGCTAATGAGCGCGACTCTGCGCGGCTCCGCCATCCCCACTGTTCTGGCCCTCCGCTCTCGCTTGAGCCGGCGCTCGTCTTGACGCCTCGCAGCGCGCCTGCCCGCCCTTCCTTCGGCTCTCCGTCGCTTTTCTTCCCTCCACCACCCTCAGAGGTCTCCGCGGACGCCACCGTGAGTGCGGACCGTGTCCCCTTGCCCGCTACTACGTTCTGATGGGCTCCACCGCCATCGCCAGGGTCGCCGCAGCCGCCATGTTGGATCCCCCACATAAATAGAAGCAGGCCGCTGAGCGGGCGCATGCGCACACTGGAGACGCTCGCGTCCACAGTCGTGGCTGTTGCTCAGTTTTCTCTTTTCCTCCCAGCAGTCTGGGGTCCAGACAGGCCGGCGGAAGTGACGTCACAGAGAGGCTTGTCTCCATGGAAACGGGACGCTGTCTGTGCCTTTGGTCCGGGGGAAGTGTTTGGAGTTCCCGGAGTAGTTTCCTCTTCTTGCCCGGAAACGGAGTCCCGCTCGCGGCTCTCCTACGATGAGTGCTGTGATGTGCTTCGGGCCTACCTAGTCATGGCGGCGGCGGGTCCCGCCCGACTTCGGCATCCGGTTCTCGGCGCGACGGTGTAGGGTGGTCACCTGAGGATTCCATGGGGGGGCAGAGAAGGGGGAGAGGGACTCGCTGCGGGTCCTACTTGCCCAGGGCCCGAGGTATGGGGAGGAAAGAGATGGCTAGCTCACGCCAGACCCACCCTCGGGCTCCCCTTCCCACCATCCTCTCATGGGCAGGGCTGGGAAACGCTCAGTTGCGTGCCACTTTGGAAGACTGAATAGCAAATGAGCAGTTGTAAAGACTTAGGGAGGGTTTCGTGTTATCTTAGGGGACACGTTCTCAGAAAAAACAAGGCTAAGTGACCCATTTCAAAGGAGGGAGGAGTGATCAACTAATTAGAATTCAAGTTTTAAAGGGTGAGAATTATTAGTAGAAAGTACATTTGAGGACTCGCTTTCTATGTCCTCAAGGGAACCCAAGCCTCCTAATTGCATTAACTATATTAGTTGAGGAACTGAGTCAAAATACGTCATAGACAGTTTGAGTAGGCAGGTGTTTGCTTTCTTATTCCTTCCCTGGTGTACCAGATTGTGATGGAATGTTGATTCCTAAAATCCTTCCTGAGCCAGGTGTGGTGCACGCCTTTAATCCCAGAGTTTGGGAGGCAAAGGCAAGGGGTTTGAGGCCAACCTGGCCTACACAGCATAGGGGGTCCAAGCTAGACCCCCATCTCAAAAAAAAAAAAAAAAAAAGAGGTCCTGCACAAATGTAAAATGCTGATTGTGGGGCTGGAGAGATGGGTTAGCTGGCTGCACTTGCAGAGGGTCTGGGCCGTTTCCAGAACCCACATGGTAACAACCTTCGGTAACTCATTAACTTCAGTTCCAAGGCATCGGAAGCCCTCTTTTGGCCTCCGAAGGCATTGAACGGCATGGGTGCACTCATACACATAAAATTGGTGATGCACGCCTTTAATCCCAGCACTCAGGAGGCAAAGGCAGATGGGTCTCTGTGAATTCAAGGCCAGCCTGGTCTACATAGTGAGTTCCAGGACAGCTGGGACTACAGGTAGACCCTGTCCCAAAAAGACCAAAATAAATAAATAATAAAATGCTGATTGTCCCTTGACACCATATTTTATCTCCATCATGTTTTCCACTGCTCCTCTTCTGATTCCCTTTAGAGTCTCATGTTTTGGATTTAGTAGCACTTAAGTGACCCATCTGCTCTCAAACTATTCCTGGAGTTTTGTAATGAGGCAATTAATGCTTCTAAAATGCTTATTGTATCATTCTCCTAGTTACAACTGACCTGCAAAGTGATCTCTATACCTATATTCAGTGTCCACAATTTACCTAGACATTGCAATCTGTTCGATCTGTGAGCCAAACTTCTGCAGGTATGCTGACCATCCAACATATCTTCTGCTGACTTCTAAGGCACTGTTTGCCCAACTTTTTGAACCTCAACCCACAGTAAGAAATAGCTATAATGTAACCCATTGCACACATCCACTGGAAATACAAGTTCACAATATGTACCCTAGTATGTAGCAAAGAGTAAAAGCAACAGAGGGAATGTAAAATATTTTATCATGCAACAAAGAAACAAATCATAAATTAGGAAAAGTTTTTAGTTAATGCTAGGTTCACAGGTTTATTCCAGGCCATGGCACCTATACATCTGGCCTGGTATTGTGCTTTTGAGACAAGGTTTTTCTATAGCCCCAGCTGGCCTGGAACCCACTATGTAGACCAGGCTAGCCTTGATCTCACAGAGGTCCACCTGCCCTCTGCCTCCTAAGTGATGAGATTAAAAATGTTGGCCACCATGCCCAGTCAGTGTATAATTTCTGAGCAGTAATCTGTAACAGCACATTTGCCTCCCTGAGTGTATACATATGCATAGATGTGTATTATCTCTGAAAGTATACTTACCATACTGAAGGCTGATGGGGGTAGGGGGAATTAACATTATGTGACTCTCAGAAATAGCTGTGAGACCCATATATATATATATATATATATATTTTTTTTTTTTTCCTTTTTGAGATAGGGTCTCCTGTAGCCCCAGCTGGCCTGTAGACCAGGCTGGCTTTGAATTCAGTGATCCACCTGCCTCTGCCCTGAGTGCTGTGGGATCAAAGGCGTGTTTTTTTTTTTTTTTTTTTTTTTTTTTTTTTTACCTTGGAGCCTACTCCAGTGACTGAAAGCTCTATCTTTTAAAAAAATTTAAATTAAGGAATTCTTACCGCCCAGGAAAGTGCATTTGCATGATGAACAGATCCATTCTCACACAGTCCTTTGAGCACTACACACTTCAAGACTCATGAGATTTCTGCATGGAGCTCACATCTATAATCCCAATCCCAACACTTGAGAGGCAGAGGCAGCAGGATCACGACCAAGGTTGTAAAGCAAGTTCAATTCCATCCTGAGCCACATGGATAAGACCTTGTCTCAGAAAAAAAAAAGATTCCTCTCACCTCAGGAAAGTCCATCTTGCCCTTTGCAGTCAGTGACCCCTTAGAGGTAGTCAGCACTCTGACCTCTGTCACCAGAGGTCATTCAGTATGGACACATACATATTATGCCTGGCTTTCTTTCAACATAATGATTGTGAAATTCATCTATTTAATTGCATGCTAGTACTTTTTTCATACAGTATAGTACTCCTTTTATGAAGTACCACAATTTACATATTATCAATTAAGTAATTTTGTATACTATTGTATATTATATATAGTTTTCTCTTTTCTAATTTTAAGGGGAAATATCATGGAATTAATGTTGAACATTAATTCCTGGAGCAGAAACTGTTTTATTGTAAATTGTACTTAGATAATGAAATATTAAGTGTGTATGAATATTTGCCTTCATGTATGTGTCTTCAGAGATCAGAAGAGGGCATGTTGGGTCCCCTAGAGCTGAAGTTACAGTTTTTAGTCACCATGTGGGTGCTAGGAACTGAACCTGTGTCCTCTGGAAGAGGAAGAGGGTAGTGTTCTTAACCATTGAGCCATCTCTCCAGCCCCTGCATTTACTCTTGAATAAGATGATGATATCATACCCATTTGGGCTAAAACTGTGGGAATTTCAATAAAGAAGGTTGTATTCATATTGTTCATGTTGCTGTGAACAGATCCTCAAGAAGAAGCAACTTGAGGGAGGAATGACTTATCTTGAGCTCATGGTTTAAGAAGGCCTACAGTCCCTCATGGCAGGGTAGGCATGGTGGCAGGAGCACAAGGCAGTTAGTCACACTGCCCCTTAGTCAGGTAGCAGAAAGAGAATTCTGGTGTTCAGCTTGCTAGCTTGCTTTCTCCTTTTTTTTTTTGAGACAGGGTCTCCTTTCAGCCCCAATTCACCTGGCACTCACTATGAAGACCAGGCTGGCCTCAGTCTCACAGAGATCCACCTGCCTCTACCTCCCCAGTGCTGGGACTAAAGGTATGTGCCACCACACCTGGTGCTTCCTTCTTTTTATTCAGTCTAGGACCCCAGCCCATGGAATGGTGCCACCCACATTCAGGATAAGTTTTCCCTTGTCAGTTAAACATCTGTGGAAATGCCCTCATAGACAATGCCCAAGGTACATGTTTCCTAAGTGATTCTAAATCCTATCAAATTGATTTTGAAGATTATCAGTCACGGGGTTAAAAGTATGAAAGTCACTCAGATGCTTAAGGTGAGAAAAGTTTTGACTGTTTTTTGGCATAACTGGGCAAAGATTTTTCAGTCATTTCCCCAGTAATAAGTGTGACATGTGACATGGAAACCCAGAGAATAGAGAAAGAGATTTGGAATGGTAAAGACTTTATAGAGGGAGAAGGGGCTTGCTTCATAAGACTGGTAAGGCTATGGGTAAACAGAATGGGGCAGGTATGACCCAAAGCTAGAGGTGGACTCAGCCTGGGAGGACAGCAGGACCTGTCACATCCTGACAGAATTGGAAAAGGCAGCGGAAATCAGGACTGAGATATGTTGGAACTTTTGGTAGCAAGTTTCATAAAATATATCAACTTAAACTAGATACAGAGGGGTCATAGCAAGACCTTTCCCTAAAAAAAAAAAGTAGAAAAGGGAGCTGGAGAGATGGCTCAGCAGTTAAGAGCACTGACTACTCTTGCAGAGGACCCAGGTTCGATTCCCAGCACCCACATGGAGGCTACAAACCATCCTTAACTCAGTTCCAGGGGACTCCAAAGCCCTCTTCTGACCTCTGCTGGCATTGCATGACATGGGTGCACTCAAATACATGCAGGCAATACACTCATTACACTCATACTGTAGGACCCCCAGACTGGGGTACCCAACATCCACGGGAGGCTGCACCCCAATAACTCAGTCCTCAGACCAGGAGATGCAATAAGCAAGAGGATTTAATCGTTTGCGCAGAGCGGGCTCCTGCCTCACTCAGAAGGAGAGTGAGAGAACAGCAGCCCCGAGCTCAGCTTACAGGCGATTTTTAAAGGCAAAAACCACAAACTACAACCAGCAGCAGTGGGAGGGGGCCAGCAGCAACCGGCAGCAGTGGGAGGGGGGAAGTTTCGGGTGATGTCCGGCTTGTGTACGGAGCATGAAAAGGGTCAGCTC